AAATACAAATACTTTGTTTTTAAAGTAAAGAAAACACACATTCCCCCCTTCAGCAGGAAGTGGTGGTGTAGTCCAATTATCTTCCCTTGTATTTAATGGTTTCAAACCCTGGCTACCATCTTTTGTCCAGCAACTCCCAGGGATGATGGCAGGTAAGAAATAAAAAGACAAAAGTTAGAAAGCAAAGAAATGAAGTAGTATGAATACATAAGTAAACTAAATGTGCGCGCTTACAAATAGAACAAATGTATCCAAACCAATCAATAAAGTTATTGGAAACTAAAATGTATTACTATGTTCAAAATGAAGAATGAAAATGCAAAAGTTACCGACTTTAGAGTGTGGCCATGGGTTTGGCCATCACACCAGTCCTAAAAATATAACACTGTGCAGACATGGATAAATATTCTACTTAGACAAACAGATTTTTTGATTTTGTGCAAGATTGAGATGTGCAAGCCATTTTTTTTACATTATAATGTTTTCAGTTTTAACATTATTTGATATAAAAATAAAATAGACGTTAACTTTTCTGAAGGAAGGATGTAAATAAGTAAGCTATCTAATGCTAGGAAAGTCAAGAAGTGTCTTCTATGTGGACATTATGAGTTTAATTTCTCTTTTCTTGTTAATGGACCATCCTACCCTCTTTCCACTTTGCTGAGCCAAGCGTGCTGGCACCTGAACCAAACCAAATCATGAAATAATGAAAGGAGGAGGGAGGCGGGTTCAGAGGCTGACTGGATTTTGCGCTTTGTTGCTGCCAAAAAACAAAACTAATTATAGGAAGCAAAAAGGTTTATAATTACCCTGCGAAGGAAACATTTTATGGACAATACGAAAAATGATTTAATACGACGGCAGAGTGTTACAGGCATGGCCCTTTAAGACTGTAGCCTCATGGGCGGTGTAGTCCTTGCTGCAGGGAGAACGTGTGGGACCGCCCCTCCCGCTGTGTGTTTGTGAGCGTGAGGGAGGGAGAAAAACATAAGCCGAAAAGTACTAGGTGCTACCGAGCAGAAACGGGAGATGGAAACATGTAAATATAAAAATAACCACTGCAGCCAAAAAGAGTGCCTGACGAGCACAGTTGTAAGTAAGCTATTAATACTCGACTGTACACTGTGTTCATGTTCCCTATATAATCACTGTGCTTTCAAATCCTCTGTAACTTAACAGCTTACATTATCAGGAGGAAAATAGAACAGACAGAACAGCTGCAACTGTGCTGAGCTCCAATCAGCACCGACAGACAGACCAGCTGCAACTGCATTCACACATTGACAAGAACACAAAAGACAAGAACCAACAGACTTAAAAATTCCTTTGTCCCACAC